AATCAGTTTTTCACAACCATATTTTACATCTTGAAAAATCATAACCTTGACAATACATACCTTTATAATATCTCTGTCCTTTAATACAGACAAATATAAGACCAATCTTAGAGTTCGTATTAGAGAAATACACTACAATCCACCCTTCCTTATATATTGCTTTTATTGATTTAAAATCAGCTTTTGATTCCATCCCAAGAGAAGGCTCTGGTGGAAGTTGTTTCATTCATCCACAGATTAGAGGTTACTTTGTTTCATTAGGATACTGCATAAAAATACAGTTATACAAGTTAGATGTGGTAGCGGTGACCATCTCTTCGTTAATGTTACCACATTCCTTTTGATGTGTATTCCCCATTGTGTGCCTGCTTGGTCTCTTGTAATCCTTTCCCCTTCAATGAATGTAAATATGAACATTAATTCTCTTCTTGCTAATTATCCCAGCAGCAGGGTGAGCATTACAAAGGTCAGGGGAGTGGGGAAAAAGGGAAGCTGAAGTAAAATTGTTAGGAGACAAATAGAAGCTGAAGGTGTGAAACTGATTAGTCTTGTCAGTTACAGGCAGGAGCTGGAAGCTGGCTATCTCAGCACTGGGGGGAGCTTTCTAATAGGCTGGCGAGTGGGGAAAAGGAAGGCACAGTCGTGGTCACATGATTTCCCACTTAGCGACCACTTCACTTAACGACAGAGCTGCCAATCCCAATTGTGGTCATTAAACAAGGACTATTTGTATTTATACAGAAATATTGAAAATTCAAAGGGGTTTACAAGCTTTTAAGCACCATTGTACATGTCTTTACAGTTTTGAATTTTCCCTTTTCCTCTGGGCACATCAGCAACTAGATGTCCTTTCTGCTTTAATCCAGCTATACCATAGACACCAGTGCTACTTGTATGTGCTTTCTGCTCTGCTCCAGTTGCTCGCAAAATACCTTCTCACCTGGGAGTATAATTGTCCAGTGTCACATTGACTTTTTTCAAGTTGTAAATCTCCATTTGGATTTTTGGCAAAATGTTGGAATAAGGTTGCCATTTCCTTCTCCAGTAATTGTATTTAGTTTGTTCCTTCATTTATGACATGCCCCTCATGGGTGAACTGTGTGGGAGTACATCCCCAATGATAATAGCAAGATGCACAAGCCCCTTTATTACTACATGGTAACAATTCATGAAGGTGCAGTCTGGCTATTGAATTGCAAACCTTAGCATGTGGAGATCTAGCCCTGTATCTTTTCTGGACTTCTAGACTTAAGATTGAAATGTTTCTTGAACGATAAAAGAAGCTCTTACAAAAACAAAGGGTTTTTATATGGAAAATCTTAATTATAGTACATCTGGCTCTGTTTATTTGAACTCTCATTAATCTGAAGGCTTAATTTTGTAATCAAATTATTTCTCAGCATTACTAGTCTATATGAAAACTTAGTTTTATTTGCATTTTATATTATTTGAAAATGTTTGCTGTTTACAAAAATAAATAGCCTCAAGAGAAATTGTTAATAGTGTAGAAAGCAGATGTTTGAACAGCCAATCTTGTTTCCAAATAATTACAAAGTATCTAGAGTGTTAATGGAACTGGGTGAATTAGTTCTGCTTCTATAAATTAGAAGGAAAAGTGTGTCTTACATGCGTTTCCTGCTTGCTGTCCCCCAAAATAGAATTTGATTCAAATGAATTTCTTTGTAATTGATTTAATAAATCTAGCAGTGGTTCCTCAGATGCTCCATTATCCAGTTTTTCAAAGCCTCTTTGCATTGTATGTTAAAACATTTTTCTAGGTATTGAGAAACACCCTAGAACTCTCAGCTGTAGTTGGAATAAGTAAAATAATATCAAGTGACTTTATTGACTAATCTTGCTCCTTAATCATAGTGTAGGGTGTTAACTTATTTGTATGGAATTTGGTAAATATAAGAAACAGAATCTGAAACCCCTACCCCAAGCTTTTGTACAGGTAAGTGGGTTTAGAGAAGGGGAGGGAGTTGGTGGTAAACACCAATTGATGATGGTTAGTAAACCTAAGCAATATTTCTGGATTCTTAATTTTGAAGCTTTACGTCTATTGCTACAGCTGAAGAAGGCAGCCTTGTAGAACTGAGCTGTTGGGTGAAAGCCTTCAAAGTACAGCATAAGTTAACACCAGCATGCTTTCAATTACAGCTGAGTTAGCAGAACCGTGCATTTAAAACATGGATCTTATTTAGTCATATAGAACATGAAGCATGTATTTGGAAGAACAAATCTTTAGAGGTGATGATTATACATTTTGCAGGTCAGTTCCTGACTGTTCACATCACAGGAATAATTGTTCAACCTTCTGTGCTGCTTTTTCCATAGGCCATAGTGCGGCACTCCTTACATTTTGTATTGTGGTATACAGTGGGGCAAAAAAGTATTTAGTCAGCCACCAATTGTGCAAGTTATTCCACTTAAAAAGATGAGAGAGGCCTGTAATTTTCATCATAGGTATACCTCAACTATGAGAGACAAAATGGGGGAAAAAATCCAGAAAATCACATTGTCTGATTTTTAAAGAATTTAAAAAGATGAGAGAGGCCTGTAATTTTCATCATAGGTATACCTCAACTATGAGAGACAAAATGGGGGAAAAAATCCAGAAAATCACATTGTCTGATTTTTAAAGAATTTAAAAAGATGAGAGAGGCCTGTAATTTTCATCATAGGTATACCTCAACTATGAGAGACAAAATGGGGGAAAAAATCCAGAAAATCACATTGTCTGATTTTTAAAGAATTTAAAAAGATGAGAGAGGCCTGTAATTTTCATCATAGGTATACCTCAACTATGAGAGACAAAATGGGGGAAAAAATCCAGAAAATCACATTGTCTGATTTTTAAAGAATTTAAAAAGATGAGAGAGGCCTGTAATTTTCATCATAGGTATACCTCAACTATGAGAGACAAAATGGGGGAAAAAATCCAGAAAATCACATTGTCTGATTTTTAAAGAATTTAAAAAGATGAGAGAGGCCTGTAATTTTCATCATAGGTATACCTCAACTATGAGAGACAAAATGGGGGAAAAAATCCAGAAAATCACATTGTCTGATTTTTAAAGAATTTAAAAAGATGAGAGAGGCCTGTAATTTTCATCATAGGTATACCTCAACTATGAGAGACAAAATGGGGGAAAAAAT